CTCAGCAGTACCTACCACTGAACACCCACCTTCTCTACCCAGCAGGTTCAGCATCCACAGAGTTTGTAGGTTTTTTCTCAGTTGTCTAATGATGTCAGCTCTGATTGAAAAACTCCTATTTGCTTCCAGGGCAGCAAACTCAGATTGATACTGTGTGACTCAGAGAGGCTCATTTCTGTATCAGATGGCTAATACAGAAATCATACATAGAGAGGTGAACCTTTTCATCTTGGAGCAGATGATTGTGAAAACCATTTATGTAATTATTCAAATTGCTTGAGTTACTGTTGGTAGAGAAGGTTCATTTAGGTTAAACCCTTTTTGGAGGATAACCTGAGCTTAAATAGTACAAAATTAAAAACATATTCAGTAACTATATTTCAAGACCTATTGTTTTACTCCCATTATTTGGAACAGGTAAACAAATGAACATCTGTGGATCTTTGCAACAGAAATTTTTAAAGCTAACCTATGTCAGATTTGATGTCTCAGCCAAGCGTAAGACTTTAATCATTGCTGTATGAATACAACACAGATAATGGTTCAGTGAACTTACTGCTCTGTAACAGCAGCTGAATGCATCAACAATACCTTTGACCATTTCTGACTCAAGATCCCTCAGTCCTTTCCTGAGGAAAGGCAATGGATATTTGGTTGCACCAAGGCTATTGGACTGTCTGATGTCAGGTCTGTGTGAACAGAAGGAAGATCCTTGAGAACATTCCCACTGGCACTCTGTGGGGGTCAAACTCTGTGGAAGACTTCATGAAAATTTAACAGAGACAATTCAGAGATAATAACAAAAAACACAGCACAACAGTAGATCTCAGAATGCTTTACAAGACAGGTATTATTCATGTTTGCAGCGAGAGAAACAGAGACAGCTATAGCAGTAAGGGCGAGTTTCAAGGCAGTGAGAGTTGTTCCAGCAGGTCAAAGGAATGAGTCAGCATTATCTGTACTTACATTTTTTGTCCCAGATGCTAAATGGGCCTAAATCAGTGTTCACTGAATAAACTGCAGGATCTTGCAGAGAGCCAAATGAGCTTTGCAGCAAATCTTAGACACACATCCTGATTTAAGCAACAACCAACTAAGCACAGATGCAAGAAAAACCACTCCTTGAAACAACCCCAATCAAGAAAAGAGCTAATATCAGAGAATTTCAAGATCCATTTGACTGAATTACCTATCTGAAAGGTTTTATCACCTGTGAATGCCTCAACTGTGACCTTTGCAGAGTAGATGTGCTTAGTTACAGTGATTGTGAAACTTTACTAACTCTACCATACCTTCATCTGTTCCCACTGTACCCCACAGCCTCTTGTCTCTCTGTACACTTCCCTCTTACAGCTTCATGAGTATGTTCCATCCCTGTTGAAGTCTGACAGGGGTGAGAGTGGTGTGCTGTCCCATGAACATGTCCAGTATGATTTCCAAAAACTATTTATATATATATATATATATATCCTTTAAATAATAAAGGATATACTGCTGGTCTATTAGCAATATATTCCCAGTAATATGCTCTAGTGATTTAATTATAACAACAAAATACAAAAAAGAACTGGAGATAATAATTTTAATTGCTTAGCTTGCTATCTTGCTCTACAATGCCTCCTTCCACACACAGATAAATAACCTACATATTTAAATAAACAATCAAAGCAATGGTTTGGAAACTGCTGGCATCAGTGATTTTAGACTATGAACCACAGCTCATGACTTTTTTCCCTTAAACACTCTTGTTCAATAGAATGAAATTACTTACAAGGGACACAGAAGTTTTCTTTCTCCTTCTTTTCTAATAGGAAACAACCAGATTAATAGTGAAAATATCAATACTACATTATCCACTTGACAAGAACGCTGGGAAGAACAGATGTGGTGTAAGTCCCAAAAATGTCTTGCCTTGCAGAACTCATGCTTCATTCCATTTTGGACCAGCCCTCCATCTATCACCTGCAACTCCACTGCTGACGACTGGCTGTGAATGTTATTTGAATATGTGTGAATTTGAATGATATTTGAGGCAGAATGCACTGGGTCTGGCTGGGATTGCTGGCCTGCTGAGCAGTACTTGCTCAGTGTTAGAGCTTTCTCTTTTCCTTGGCCCTGGAGGTGAGCAAGAATTTGAGCAGGGACACAGCCTAGGCAGCTGTTCCAAACTGAACAAAGGGATATTCCATGCTGCACAACATCATGATCGGCACTAAAGGGACTTGGAGGAAGACAGTGCTTGGAGTCTAGTGAGCCCTACTAGTCTACTTGTGGAAGGTGGTCAGTGATGGCCTTCACATCATTAGTTTGTGGGAGTTTTTCTCCCTTTTTGTTTATTATACTGTTTATCTCAACATACAGATTTCTTCACTGTGTGGGGAAGTGTCATGCTTAGCTACTGGCTGGGTTAAAACCATCACACTGAGATAAAAAAATAAACATAAAATTCAAATCTGCAAAATGGAAGCTCCCACAGCATATCAGACTGGAGAGCAGGATCCCTTTCTTCCATTGCTAAAGATCTCCTTTCCTCCTTTGAGCAACCTGGAATAACGAGATACTATGAGTCCTAGGAAATAAATGAGTCTCAGAGTCATTAGGAGCAGTATTGCCTTAGGTGGGAATGCAAAATAAACAGGACTTCAAGTTCTCTTTAAAGCTTTTGCAGACATTTAAACATATATTTAAAATTACAGCTATGGGAAAGTGAATTGGTTGTAAAAAATACACTTTTTTGAACAACAGATACAAACTGATCATAGTGCCATTCATTGCTCCTTCTCAAGTGGAAATAGTTTGCCAGTGAGAGATTCATTGGAGGGCACCAGATGGTTCAGTGGAAAATGAACAAGTCTGCAGTTTGCAGGTCTGCAGGTTTTACTCTGCTCAATGGTCATGCAAGACCTTCGGGGAGATGTCCAAGATGTGCTAGGAAACGGCACAATTTTCAGTTTAAATCTTTTCAGAATGTCTTTAATTTTCAAAGGTGTTAGTCCAAGATTTTGCCTTCTACCAAGAAAACTATCATTTTGCTGTGTAGATGTTAGTAGCTCAAGCTAAACATATTACTTCATTTGCTGAACATAAAACAATTTAAAAATTAGTTGCTCCC